TAAGCTTGTATAATAACCTATACAAACATTAATCATATTGCATTTGCATCTTGACACAGCTCAATTAGTCAGTCAATTCAAAATAAGTTCACAAACTTTATATTGTTGTAAGCACTACTGCACTAGTGTACAAGCATGAGCATATTAACAAGTTGAGTCACATCTCACTATTTACTGCCTCTACCAGGCCAATTGATCTCCAAGACATGAGCATTGAGGGATACTTAATAAGTTTAGAGTTCAAATTTATTCTTCTCCCAAAAGGTTGAAATCCCAACCTTAAAGGCCCACATCCCGACCCGATAGAGTATTTGGGAGGATGTAAATAACAATAACTTAATGGCTCAATAGACACCCGACATGACCAAATGACAGTCCACAGAAGGGATCAAACTTATTAAATTGTTATTTGGTGCAGGTTCCTTATGCTGCTGCATTGATGTCAGTTCTAGCTACTTTTGGAATGCCTTGTGTAAGTTTTAAATAATAATAATAAGGGATAAGGGTCAAATATGCCCTTGAACTATAGACACAAATGCAATTAGGCCCTTTAACTTTTAAAAAGTTTAATTAAACCCTTCAACTTGTTATTTTGAGTCAAATAAACCTAATAACAGGTTATTCACATGCAATAATCGGTCAAAAAAATACGGCAACATTTCCAGTAAGAATTACGGCAAAAAAAAAAAAAAAAAAAAAGACCTACCGGTGAAAACAACCGTTCGGTCGTCTTCTCCAGTGGAGAAGGCGACCAGACTGGTCGCCTTCTCCATTGGAGAGGACGACCTCTGGTTAAGGCGACCAGATAGATCTGGCCGCCTTCTCCGGGAGAAGTTTTTTTTTTTCCTTTTTTTCGGCAGTCAACAGTGGTTTCCAGCGGTCAACAGCGATTTCCGGCGATCAACATCAATAATTTACCCGTAACCCGTTGGTTAATTGTAATTAGACTTATTTGACTTAAAATAACAAGTTGAAGGGCCTAATTGAACTTTTTAAAAGTTGAAGGGATTAATTGCACTTTTGCCTATAGTTCAAGGGTCTATTTGACCCTTATCCCCAATAATAATTTCTACTCAATTATCAATTTAAGCAATAATGTTTAAAGTGAAAATAATTAATTTCCCCTACATATGTATGCAGCTAAGGAGCATTGCTTCTAAGCAGTTTGGACCTAATGAGCAGGTATTGGTATCTTAGAATAAGGTTCTCGTGTGAGGTGTGAACTAATAAAATATGTTTGAATGATTTATAACTAAAAAATAAGAGGGGGAAAATGGTGGGTGATTTATCAAAGTATCAATTTGACCAATCATTTTTTTCTTATTTTTCTTTATTTTTAAATGTTAGACCTACTAAATCAATAACTAGTATTTATCCACACTTTTCAATAAATATCTTGTTCTCAATGGTGGTAGGCCCACATTATGATATCGTCGTAGTACTAAAAATTAAAATTAAAATCTTGAAAGGGATAACCGAGTAAATGAAGTATAATTCTTGAAAAGGTGATTAAATGTATCCCTTTTATATAATTTACTAACAATTATATAGGAGTAAGGTTTACCTAATGCACACGTTAAACCATAATATACAAATATAATTTGTGACTTAAAATCAAGTCCTCTATCGAAGTTTATGTTTCTTTAATTTCCAATTTTTAGGGAAAGGTCCAAGGATGTGTTACAGGCTTGTCTTCCTTTGCCAACATTGTTTCTCCTCTGGCTTTCAGTCCATTAATAGGTAAGTGTATGTTGAGGCAAATTATTCTGTGGACTCGGGTTCACTTTGCAAGGTGGACCTAAGTTTAAAAATACACAATTTACATTTTGAATTGTGAACATTTAGTATATAAATTGTATATTTTTTTGACTCGGGTCCACATAAATTGAGGGGTGGGTTTAATTAATTGGAATTATTATTCATATTTTAAATCTTCCAAAATGCAAATTTTAACTCACCTCCATCTTTTTTCTCAGCTACATTTTTATCCGACGATGCACCATTCCATTTTCCTGGTTTCAGTATTATGATTGCTGGTCTAGCTGCTGTGAGTGTTTTCTCTTTATTCTTTTTTTCTTTTTTTTTTTTTTAAAAAATTTCCTTTTATAGTTAACTCAATTTAATTTTATTAACTCTAATAGCGTGTGAAACGTTTAGTACTTTACTTTTTATACTCTTTACATAAGATTTCATTAAGAGAAAATCGGTGCTCTTTATTAATCCTATTTATGTTTGTATGTTCGTAGATGTTGGCCTTTATTCAGAGTTTAATGATGACAACATCACGTTCGACAACTGCATACAATTTAAGCGATTCAAATTCACCAAGGAATTTTGTCTAAATTATTTATTATTAGCTCTATTCCTATAAGACTTTTGGAGAAGTTATGTTTGGTTAGTCCTTTAGTTTAATGGCATGTATCACATTATTATTATTATTATTATTATTATTATTATTATTATTATTATTATTATTATTATTATTATTATTAATTACAAGATTTATAGTCTATTTATTAAAAATATCATTTTGAAAATACATGCACTTGATTTAATCATTAATACTAAATTTGTAAAAAGTAACAAAAGTTAATAAAAATATATTACTAAATAAATTAAACAACTATTTTAATCATTTTAGTCTGTAAATAATTTATGTCAGAGCCTAAGTTGCTATGTGTGTTCCATACTTCCATCAATGTCACATATACATTTGTACAATAAAGATTGTAATAATGTAATAATTATTATTATAAAGTAATAATGCTACAGAATTGTATTTTTCTTTCCTAACGTGATATTAAAAGGGAGAAAACATGAAAAAGGGAGGGGATTTGACCACTAATCTTGGAGTACTGTCAATCATTATTGTATGGACTATGGTCTACATAAACTGTGTGGACTATATTTTGTATAGTGTAAAATAATATATATTCAGTACAAAAATAATGTATTTTTGATATATTAAAAATGTATATTATATTCAAGGGAGATACATTATGTGTACTGAATACACATTATATATAATGTACACTCAGTACACAGATAATATATATTTAGTATATTAAAACTGTACTTTTTGTTATGGTACACAGAATAATTTACCGAATACATTTCACCCATGTTCTTTTACTTCTCTATTTAGAGAATTGTAATTTTGGATTCTCCAAAATCAGTGGAAAAGGGAAGAATGGAGATAGCTATAAAATTAGAAAATTGAGTTTAGTAAACCATTTTTCTCTTTTCTATTTCTCCAATTTTTTTTTTTTTCTAAAAAAAAAAAAAAAATTGCTCCAAATTTTCATTTTACAAAAGAAGGGAGATATCCACATATAGAGTTAATACCCAAAATCGTCCTCGACTATAGTGGTTTTTCTCAATTTCGTCCTAAACGACTTTGGTGACCTAATATCGTCCCAGACTTTTGTGTTTCGCTCAATTTAGTCCCAGACTTTTGTGTTTTTGCTCAATTTAGTCCCTCATTTGTTATTCTGTCCATTTGGTGTTAAATAAATAGACAATTCAGTAATTTTAATATTGGCATCTCTTTACTCATAGACATGTGAACTGCGAAATCCTTTTTTTTTTTACGAATTACTCCTAAAACTGCGAATATAAAATTTGATTTGCAGGTTCGGGAGTAATTCTGGGTGTAATTCGTATAAGAAAGAAGAATTTCGCACTTCACAAGTTGAAAGTAAAGAGAGATCAATATTGACATTACTGAATTGTCCCTTTATTTAACACTAATTTGACGGAATAACAAATGGAGGACTAAATTGAGCGAAACACAAAAGTCTGAGACGATATTAGGTCACCAAAGTCATTTAGGACGAAATTGAGAAAAACCACTATAGTTGAGGACGATTTTGGGTATTAACTCTCCACATATACAATCTACGCCTACACCAAGGCTCGAACCTTAGAGCTCCCACATAAGGAAGCAACCTTAGAGCTCCCACATAAGGAAGCAACCGGATACTAGGGCCACAAGCCACTTGATAATTTTTATTTTATTTGACTAAAAGTTAAGAAATTGTATTTTTTCTATTTGCCTTACTTTTCTAAAAATGAACTTATAATAATAATAATAATAATAATAATAATAATAAGTAGTGGTAATGTTGATAATAATAACCTAGAAACTAACTTGAAGAAATATGAGAAAAAAAAACCTTAAAATAAAGAATCTAGAAATGTCTTTCAACTAAAAATCTATGAAGATATTTTTCTGTTGAACAAAATAAATATTTTTCTTTAACTTTATTAAAAAAAAAAAAAAAAAACATTGAGGGCAGGCCTGTAGTATCTCAGAATGAGAAGTTTGTAGGAAAAAACTAAATTTAACAACTAATAAAGTGAGAGTTAATACCCAAAATCGTCCTCGACTATAGTGGTTTTTCTCAATTTCGTCCTAAACGACTTTGGTGACCTAATATTATCCCAGGCTTTTGTGTTTCGCTCAATTTAGTCCTCCATTTGTTATTCCATCAAATTGGTGTTAAATTAAGAGACAATTCAGTAATGTCAATATTGATCTCTCTTTACTTTCAACTTGTGAAGTGCGAAATACACTTTCTTGTACGAATTATACGCAGAATTACTCCCAGACCTACAAATCAAATTTTATATTCGCAGTTTTAGGAGTAATTTTGGGAGTAATTCGTTAAAAAAAAAAAAAAAAAAAAAAAGATTTCGCAGTTCACATGTCTATGAGTAAAGAGATGTCAATATTAAAATTACTGAATTGTCTATTTATTTAACACCAAATGGACAGAATAACAAATGAGGAACTAAATTGAGCAAAAATACAAAAGTCTGAGACTAAATTGAGTGAAACACAAAAGTCTGTGACGATATTAGGTCACCAAAATCGTATAGAATGAAATTGAGAAAAATCACTATAGTCGATAACCATTTTGGGTATTAACATGTCATCTCAGAATGAGAAGTGAAGTTTGTAGGAGTTACTGTATTATTTATCCAACTTCAATTTTTAGATAAAAAAAATAGAAAATTAATTTTCATACTGATTTACGGATTCTCCTCCACCGCCATCTTTCCGGTGCCACAGTTAGTCGGTGGAGAAGCTACCTTCCCATTTTGTTTTCCCCCGTCAACTGCCGCCTCTTAGCTTCATCCCCATTTCCTCCGCCGATAACCAACACTTATTACTTATTATCACGCTACCATTTTGGCTACTAACACCTAAAAATGGCGGCTGAAGATTCGGTTGATAGTCCTGTAGAGTATCTTCACGGCGACCTGGACTTGAATATTGTAGAAGCTCGGAGCTTGCCGAATATGGATTTCGTCACCGAGCAGCTCCGTCGGTGTTTCACGGCGTTCGATGTCTGCCGGAAGCCGTTTGCTGGCCGGCGACGGAATGGACGTCGCCGCCACAAACAGAAAATCACCAGCGATCCGTACGTCACGGTTTGCCTCGCCGGGGCCAGGGTGGCGCGTACCGGCGTCATTTCCAACTCCGAGAATCCGATCTGGAACAGCCACTTCAAAATACCCCTGGCTCACCCTGTTACCGAGGTCCAGTTCCAGGTGAAGGACGACGACGTTTTAGGCGCCGATTATATCGGCGTCGCCGCCGTGCCTGCGGAGAAGATAAAGTCTGGTGAGCTCATAGACGACTGGTTCCCGATCATTGGACCTCGCGGAAAACCTCCAAAAACTGATTGCGCTCTCCGATTGAAGATGAAGTTCACTCCGTTTAATGAAAATCCGGAGTACCAGAGCGGCATTCCCGAAAATCACGGTCTAAACGAGAGTTATTTTCCGGTGAGGCACGGAGGCTCAGTGACGCTATATCAGGACGCCCATTCGCCGGACGGCATGTTGCCGGAGATCGAATTGGAAGAGACGAGGGTTTTTCGTCACGAAAAGTGCTGGGAAGACATATGTCACGCTATACTGGAAGCTCGTCACTTAGTCTACATAGTAGGGTGGTCTGTTTATCACAAGGTGAAGCTGGTGAGGGAGTCGGAAAAGCCATTGCCGGACGGCGGGAATCAGAATCTCGGTGATCTGCTCAAGTACAAATCGCAGGAAGGAGTGAGGGTGCTCTTATTGGTTTGGGATGATAAAACTTCTCACGACAAATTCTTCATTCACACGGTAATGATTATAGCTTGTAGCCAATCCTTTATGGAGAGAATGACCAAAATTAAAGTAGAGAAATATGGGGAAATCTAATTTTGTAGTATGCATATGACTGGCTGTCTAAATCATATCTAGTACATTTCCAGAATTTATGTATGGACTATGGAGTCTTTGCTAATGCTTAGAATGTTTCTGGTGATATAGGCAGGAGTGATGCAAACTCACGACGAAGAGACTCGGAAATTTTTCAAACACTCGACTGTCACTTGCGTGCTGTCACCTCGATATGCAAGCAGTAAGCTTAGCATTTTCAAGCAACAGGCATGGTTATACTTGAATCAGAACTTGCTACTTCATTCAGCAGAGAGGGATTTGGTTATAGCCAAGTTCTTGCTTAAAATTAGAAGAACATTTTGAAAATACACAGCAGTAATGAAGTTTAGTGGCTATGCATAATCTGAAATCCCAGTTTTGGCTGTGTAGCAGCTACTTATGTGTTCATTAATAAGGGAGGTTACATAGGATATGCATCTGAAAATATTTCGTTAAGTTTTTATTCTTTCAACTATTTGAAATATCAATGACTCAAACATGGTACATTTTCCAGATTTGAAAATTTCTTCCAACGTGTCTCGTGCGTTAGAGATCATTCCTTTTGTTGCATAGTAGAAAAATGCTAAACAAGTGTCTTCCGTTGAAGTACATGCGTATAGAGTTAATTCTACTTTTGTCATAAACAGGTGGTGGGAACTCTTTATACGCACCATCAGAAGTGTGTCATTGTGGATACACAAGCTAAGGGAAATAAACGGAAGATAACAGCTTTTATTGGAGGTCTAGACCTCTGTGATGGGCGCTATGATACCCCTGAGCATAGACTCTTTCGTGATCTTGATACTGTTTTCCGGGATGACTATCACAATCCCACGTTTCCTGTAAGTGTTTGTTACACTGCAATCATTGTTTTTTTTTGCACCTCTCTTGGTCTTTTTGTATTAGCAATTAGGAACAGTAAGAAATATAGATAGTAGTCTTTCATATCTAAGAAGCGATTATGCATAACTGTCTCTAATTCTCTATACGAACCACTTAAAATGGACTTCATTCTATATACTTATTATTACTGCTATTGGATTCTCCTGGAGGAGATATTAGCACTAATATTTTCCTTCTGTAATAGGCAGTAACCAAGGGACCAAGGCAACCATGGCATGATTTACATTGCAAAATTGAAGGTCCTGCTGCCTACGATGTGCTAACAAACTTTGAACAGCGATGGAGAAAAGCCACAAAATGGTTAGCACTAGGGAGACGTTTAAAAAAGAAACCTAATTGGCATGACGATGCTTTACTTAAGATAGAGCGGATTTCATGGATTAATAGTCCTTCATCTGTGATTCCAAATGATGATCCTTCGTTGTGGGTCTCTAAGGCAGATGATCCTGAAAACTGGCATGTTCAGGTTCATTAGAACTCCTTTCCTGTTTGACATACTAAAATCTTAACTTGTGAAAATTCCAAATTATTTTCTGTTTTTCATTTTAACTGCGACAGGTTTTCAGATCTATAGATTCTGGGTCGTTGAAAGGATTCCCCAAAAACATTCACTTAGCCGAGTCACAGGTGGTGAACTTTTGCATATATTTTCTTGATGTTGTTAATTGACAGTGACTAAACTTCCATAGCTTAACTGTGTGTTGAAATTGTTGCAGCATTTAGTTTGTGTGAAAAATGTGGTGGTTGATAGGAGTATCCAAATGGCATACATTCAAGCGATAAGACGTGCCAAGCATTTTATTTATATTGAAAATCAGTATTTTATTGGGTCATCATTTGCTTGGCCTTCCTACAAAAATGCAGGTTTCAAAATCTTCTCTATCAATAGTGATTACTCACATTTCATTTTTTCCACCCAATTTTGTAGAAATCCCTTATAAAAAATGGTATTTACCTCAGATCCAGCCTTTTATGGTTATTTTAGGTGCAGATAACTTGATTCCAATAGAGCTTGCACTCAAGGTTGCAAGTAAAATCCGGAATGGGGAGCGATTTGCTGTTTACATTGTCATTCCAATGTGGCCCGAAGGTGTCCCTTCTTCTGCATCAATGCAAGAAATTCTGTATTGGCAGGTGATGCAAAATATGAGTCTTTAACTTCCTAGTTTGAAGAGAAGATGACACTAAATAAAGATCTGTGTGGATGAATTCTTCACTTGATAAATGACCCTTTGCAAGCTGTTTTATAAATATTGTATTAGTTATTTGGTAAAGGAGAAAATACTTTGCAAAGAAGAGGAAAATATAACTACTGCATGGATGCCCTTGTTTTCTTGTCTTGGCAAGTTGAAAATCTCAATAAACATTGATAATTCAGTGATAATCCAAACATTTTCTTCGAATTGGAGAAATTTCCTACAGTTAACTAACTTTACCAATGCATGCTCTTTCAGGGGCAGACAATGCAAATGATGTATGAACTTGTTGCTCGAGAGCTGAAATCAGCTCAACTTGAAGACTCACATCCTTGTGACTATCTAAATTTCTACTGTCTTGGCAATCGAGAAGAGCAGCATGAAGAAGAAGAAGAATCCAATTTGAGCACACAACCACCTTATAATGATAACGGGGTAATGATTCTACATTTTATATTTAATTGATTATTGTGTCACATCAAAAATGAATTTTTCCTGTTAAGTCTGTTGTGATTATCTAACAATACTGCCTTGGTCTTATTGCCAAACTGAATTCAGGTCTCAGCTTCTCAAAAATATAAAAGATTCATGATTTATGTACATGCAAAGGGAATGATTGTGGATGATGAGTACATCATCTTGGGATCTGCTAACATTAACGAAAGATCTATGGATGGTTCGAGAGACACCGAGATTGCTATGGGTGCATATCAGCTACACCACACTTGGGCAAAAAGGAAAAAACACCCCCGTGGTCAGGTTGGTGTTGCTTGTACCGTACTGCATATCCAGAGAGCTTGTAAAATGTAAACTGATGTAAATTGTTATCTTTCTGCAGGTGTATGGTTATAGAATGTCCCTGTGGGCAGAGCACTTGGGGATGACAGAAGATAGTTTCAAGGAACCCAAAAGCTTGGATTGCGTGAAGCGTGTAAACAACATTGCTGAAAATAACTGGGAGAGATACACGGCTGAGGAATTCACCCCATTACAAGGTCATCTTCTTAAATACCCGGTCCAAGTAGATACAAATGGGAAGGTTAGCCCCTTGCCCGGACACGAAAATTTCCCTGATGTGGGTGGTAAAGTATTAGGGGCTAAAACCGCCCTTCCTGATGCTCTAACAACTTGAACCAACAAGTTACCAATTGCCCTTATTGTGCACTAGCCTTTCTGAAGTGGATTTTTTAACATTGAATTTTTTGGCCAAGTTAGCAATTTGGCCAAGAACACAAGAACTTGTTGCATTTTAGAATACCTGCTGAATTCAATTCTTCTAAACACTAAGAAAATATGAAAGAGGGAGAAATAAACAGGAAAATTGAGATTATTAAAATTCCGAGAAAAGTTTTACAAAAGATTGGAATTAGTACTTCAGTTTACAGTGATCTTGCCAACCATGCCAGCTCCCTGGTGAGGTGAACAGTAGTAAGAGTAAGTTCCCTTCTCTGTCAAAGTGACAGAGTAAGTCTCTCCAGGTGCATTCAGCAGGTCCTCCTCATTCATGGAGATCTTGGCAGCATCAACTCCAGACGGAATCTCATCTTCATCGAAAATCACGTTGTGAGGGAAGCCCGCATTGTTCTTGAACACAATGGTCTCTCCAGAAGCCACAGAGAGTTCGCTGGGGACGAAGGCAAGCCCACCGTCATCAGAGCCAAGCTTAACCTCAGCAGCCAGGGCGTTGGTCGCCAGCAATGCACTAGCGGCGGTGGCAATCACGGCAGCACCAAAATTCTTGAGGGAGGCCTTGATTGCAAGCTTTGGGGTGGGAGCTGCAGCCAACTTGACAGCAGTCCTGGAAGAGGATGATGCGCCCGCTGCCTTGAGGCCAGTGAAGGAGGGAATGGCAACAGCAGCAGAGGTAACACTCGCCATTTCTGATTCTTCTTGATATTAACTGTGTATGCACCTCTTAGCTTATTATGTGACTGGAATGGAAACCAAGTAGGAAAGGAGAGGGTGAGAGGGGTTTTAATATGATGGGAGGGGAAGGTTGATTACTCACCAGAGAATATGTGTGGTCTGATTGCATTGAGGGCTTTGTTATCTCTAGAGAATGAATCCTATTGGTAAGGGAGATGGGATGCTATCCTCTGACGTGGCAATGGATGTTTGTGATATGAGGTGGTGGAAATCTGGCTTCTTAGCAGGCAATCTTGAAATGGATATTTCCATTTTTATTATTGCGTGGATCTCTGGTGCCCACAGAAAATTTGCTGAAAGAAATCCTTTTGAAATTCCACTTGGGATTGGGTTTATCACTCTGAAGACTGAAGCTAGGTAGATTATCCTTTTTGAACCTAAATACCAATTCTAGTAAAACATGGACATCTTATTTCTCCTCAATCCTGTCTCATTTCTGTCTGATTCGATTAATGAGACTTGACTGAAGTTATTTACAATTTAATCTTTTGTAACATTTAATCTAGTATCAGTATATAAAATTTATATATAAATAAAAGTACTATTAAAAACATAACTTATAAGAAAATGTTAACAAAATCAAAGAAAGATCCATGAATAGTAAACATGATATATAAAATATAACGGAGAGAATACTAAACAACACGGAATGGTTTAGTAGACCACCCAAAAGTATATGCAAATAGAAGTGTACAGTCCACAAAAACATATTACTATTGTGTTTGTGACAAACTAAAATGTAGTTGATGATTTGTAGACTAACCTGGCATGTTCTGACTAGTCTCTTTGAAATAATATATAGAGTGAAGTGTGGGAAAGATTATGTACATTATTGTCTTCCCCAATGTGCTGGAAGGCTTTTGCAGGCACATACATTTCTGTAGAAGCTCCTTTTTTATGGCTTTGTTTTGTGCATTGTACTCGCGTAGTCACGTTGTACTACTACTTCCCCTCCTGTACTATTTGTACTACTACTAGCATCCACCACACCATCACAACAACTCAACAAGTACTACTACTAGCATCCACTAGTTTCATTTCGTAACATTTATAAACCTGTTTGCATATTGTTTGGGCACAAAGGAATTCATATTGCCATGTTTGCTGTGGCTCAGTAATGATGCATCCACCATCTACCAAGAATGGAAAAATACAATGGTTCAGTATTTGGCCATGTCTGCTAAGATATCAAGGTCTGAACTTCGGCGGGGCGACAGTGTGGCAATTATGCCCAAAGTGGACAAATCTCTTGTGCGCACTGGCATTTGGCCATGTCTGCTAAGCCATTGAGTTACCGTGATATACATCATCTCAAATGCTCTCTCGGACTAGGGTGTGGGGCCCTTGGGTTGGGATTCAACTTTTTGGGAGAAGAAAGAAAAATACTCAATACTAAACTAAACCAAAGTGACTTAGCAACTCATTAAGTAGGAGGTAGGTTGGATGATCGATGTCTGGTGCCTATAAAGATTCACTATGGGCTTAACTCTCACATTGCAATTGGCTCGATCTGTGTCTTTACCTACACAATCTACCATTGAAGAGCCAATTGAGTTGTTCGTGCATAAGGGCAGGACATGTTTCTTCAAATGCCATTTCAACTCGGTTGGTATAACGGTCGAGTATTCATCGCATTCACCATTCAAAGAAAGAAATGTAAGTTTACTTACATTATATATCCAAGAAGCACTGTGCCTGGTCTGTGAACAGCATGAATCAAATGCAGTAACAAGCCTACAAACAGAGCCACAAATAATCAAAAGTCTTCACAAAATATATGTTCAAAAGTTGTTGATTGGATAGAGAAGCAAATCTTGGAGCATCCGTCATTGACATGGCTTAAGTAAAAAAATAAATCAAGGAAAACTTGCTTCACTTAACTCTTTATACTTGGGGGTCTATTTTATTTAAACTCCTTTTATGCCATTGTGCACTGTACTCACATGTACTACTTTCTTTGTACTGTTGTACTACTTCAAAACTGCTCAACAAGTTTTTAATCTCTTCAAATTATCACACTAGAGACCACTTGGACAATGAAAGAATATCCTTTAGCACCCAATTATCAAGTCCAAAATTTCTTTGTTTTTTTAGTTTTATAGCCCAAGTTTCCTGACTTGCAGCCATCCATGTGTTCAGATTTAATCGGAAAGACTATTTTAAAAAAATGTGATAATATTTTCGTAAATAATTAAACATTGAATTGCAAGTAAATTGTGTTAAAAGTGTAAGTAACAGTTTCATATAATGCACCTAAGTACAAGTAAAATGTATTAAAAGTGTAAGTAAAATATATTAAAAGTGCAAGTAAAATGTATTAAAAGTGCAAAAAAATTTACACGGAGCATCAATATTAAGTGCACCTAACATTATCATTAGTTGCATCAAATGTTATCATTAAGTGTACCAATGTGAAAGACGTTATCATTAAGTGCACCAAGATTAAAAAAGTAAATTACTTACACTATTAAGTGAAAATGGTCATACTTTAAGTGATTTTACAAGCACATTTGTAGCAATTACTTACACTTTTAACACATGCTACTTGCACCAAAGTTCGAGTTATTTACGAAAATATTATCGTATTTTTTTAAATTGCATCTGGTCCATTAAATCTGGACAAGTGGATAGTTGTGAATGGTTATCAGTTTTTTCCTGAGCCTTCATTCTGACCTAAGTGCATCTCACAAACAACTCAATTAGCTCAAAAAAAATATTAATATTCTTTAAACTAAATTTTAGATGAATTTAATAGATTATTAGTTCAGATATATTTTTAGTTATGTTATATATATATATATTTGGTTCGAATATCAAATGTAAAAATCTTACATATATTGCTCTTAAAAGTAAAAATTATATTTATTCTATTTAAATCAAATATATTTTAAATACAAAGTCTAAAAATCACTCAAAATTAAACTTGTGTTAATTTTATAACATTAATTTAAAAAAAAATAAATAAATAAGTATTAGTAAACAAGTTTTCTAACCCAAAGAAACAGAGAATGGAAAACAAAGATGAAAACTGAAAAATTAAAAAAAAGAAAACAGTTTCTTTCAGTAAATGGCCTTTAAGTATTCCTAATAATCCCATCAAAGAATATAAAATCATCTACCTATTCCAGGCTCCAGCTATGTCATGCCACTGAGAATTCAATAGGAAAAATAGTATGGCAGAGTACATTAACAGTGTAATTTCATTAATAGTAGCCTACTAGCCTGTGTTCAATTTCACCAAATTTGTCAAAGAAGCATTATACATCAGCAATAAAGACAAGCAAACACAAGACCAGCCCAATGGATAACAAGCTAAGTACATACAAAACTTCAGCAAAGGCAAGGAATAGAAGCAGGGCTTAGAAGCTCCAAGCCACCAATATTGCACAGTTGCACAATTGATAATGGACCAGATCTGACCATTGATCTCTAACTTTTAATGGACCAGATCTGTCCACACGGACCATGAGAAGGTGTGGACTCACTTGCACAGTGGCCTATATATATATATACCACACACACACAGAAGCAGGGTTTTCGAGCACTAAGCATGCAAAAATATAGCTAGAACTACATTATGCTTGTTGAGGTCATAGTTGATTGTATAAGAACTGCACAATTAACTTCAAGAGGTTCAATTAAGACAACCAGGTGAACCAATGGCATGAATTCACAAGCACAATAGCATTTCTTCTAGGAATAAGTCCTGTTTGAGACTGTCTCACGTGCAATACTTTTTAATTAAAATGTAATACCTTTCTATGGACTCATAAAAAGTATTACATTTTAACTAAAAAGTATAATACGTCTCACGTGAGACGGTCTTGCGGAAGACCTACTCTTCTTCTGGACACTATGTTAGTTCTGCTGCTTTTCTGCATTTCCAAATGCAATAACAAATGAAATGGAAACCCCAAATCAATCCCAAAAACTCCATACAGCACTTTGGTTCTCACCACTTCTTAGTCTCTTTGCCTCAGCACCAACCAAATCACATCATGAAATAAATTTACTAAAGATCAATAAGCCACATGCATATAAGGCTATGTTTGGCAGATCTAACCGAAAAGGTAGCTGAAAGCTGAAAAGCTATAAGTTAGAAGCTGAAAATTGAAATGCCAAGTAGAGATCAGAGGAGTATCTAGCAATACAAATACGGTATGAATCGCAGGTCCTTTACATATCAATCACTAGTAATACTTATTGAGCAGACTTATTAACTTAGGATACAAGTGTACAGAGTATTTACAAGAGCAATAAGGCAGGCATCTATGGTGATAGGAGACAATGGAATATACAGAACTGCAAACTTTTTTTGTTTTCTGGTTCCTTAAACTTCACCTTAAAAATGCTGTGGTATATCATCTTCATTGTCATCATCCAAGTCAAAATACTTAAACCCAAGGCTGTTATCTGGATTTGGATTAAAGCTTGAATTCACATAGCATTTCATATCATGAAACAGGTTCAAATTATCCACCAGTTTGTGATATATATTGCATCCACAACACTATCAACATAAACAAAAGAGACAAAATCAGAAATTATATAAAAAAAAATAAAGGCAAAATCTCCTATAAGACTGTCTCATGGATCCTATCCATGAAACATGCCAGTTTTTCAAAGTATTACACTTTTCTTCACAATTATTATAATTTTTTTGGTAACTCTTAAACTCCTAATATTACATGCCAATGACCTTGTGGTCTAATGGCACGAAGTGACACACCCAAATGGGAGGTCATGAGTTCGAACCTCAGTGTAGGCGGTATTGACTATTTGTGCTTCAGTAGGTTGAGAAAGTAGCTATGAACAGATACTACATTATAATAGAGTCAGTAATACTATTAAAAAAAATCCTAATATTATATTTTCATAAAAAAAAACCACATTTTCCCACATAAGTATTACACTTTCTCAGTTCTCTCATAAGATTCTTCCTATCATAATTAACAATCAATCAATTTATCCAAATATGTATTCTGTCCAACCCCTAAATGTTGCATTTTGATTTTAAAATATTATATTTTTGCTCAAAACTATTGCATTTTTAATTGTAAATAAGTAACACTTGATTCCTATTAGTATGAATGCACATTTGCAGAGACAGAGAGAAGTTATGGTGTCCAAGTAGTACCTGAACAAAGACTGTGCCGTCTGTATAAGCATGAGGATTGATGGCGCGAGTTGTGCGTTGTCCGCAGACTTTACAAGTGAAGGCAACTAGCATACGACGTCGTGGCGATTTCGTGAAGAGGGACCAAGGGAAGGTAGATACCTGCTCCATTCCGGTTTCCGGGTTCGAACCCGCCGGAACCGATGGCCCTTCCATCCCCGACCCGGTAGTCCATCCTCGAACGTTCGCCGCGCTCAGAACCAATCCCATCGCCGCATCCTGCCAAAAATTCCCCAAATTACACCTCAACAAAAACGCCCTAAATACAGAATTTACCATAAATAATTGAACATGGAAGATTACCTGGGAAAGGATCGGTACCAGGCTCGAGTCATTGGAATTGGATCGGAGATCGGGCTCGTTCCCGTTACCTGAAAATCAAAAAATCACGAATTACAAACGGGAGCTAACTAAATCGAAAGATAGAAAGGAATAGGAGCAGAAGAAGAAGAAGGCGGGTACCTCTGGGAGAGGCGGAGAAGCGGAGGATGCGTTTGGAGGAAAGGCGATTGGATTTGAGAGGGGAAAAGATTGGGAGAGAAGGAGATAGTATGGCGGTTGTTGTTGAGGATGCCAGAGCTTCCATGGTGCTCAATAATGGAGTTGAGTCCTTTGGTGGAAAAGCGGAGTAACAGACGGAACTGGGAACAAGACGAAGAAGAACACGAAGAATATATTGACCGTTCTTATACATATATATGTGGCTCTCGGATTTTTCCAGAAACCAACAGCCAGACCAAAAATCTGTTATATAACTTTATACAATCTTATTAGATAATTTTTTTATTTATTTTTTTATAACTTAGCTAATTCTAATTTTGTGACTAATTCTAAACCCACAAAATTTCACATTTCACCTCTAAAACTATTACGTAGTAGTCACACAATCAGCCCACCGATCAGATCTTAGTCTTCATGTGTGCACAAGAGATGCAATCCAAACAATCATCGTTCTTCGACCTTTTTTCTATACATGTTTTTAGTGGGATCCGAACCTCCACAATGATGCCTACCTTTAAGTCAAACAACAAATCAACTACGCTAAGCTTCGGGGTCTATTTTAAATAACTTTGATTTACGGAAAAGCTAGAAGTCACTATCCAAAGATATACTTAAATAAAATTTATCTTATGATTCTAGTTGGTAAAAAAAAAAAAAAAAAAAATACAATGAACTAAACTAACTTAGAATGTATATAGTTGAGTGACTCAAACTACAAATGCCAATAAACAATTCTCACGAAAAATCAAACTTGGAACATTAATATTAAAATTGTAATCTTACATACGAGCAAGGTCAAATTACAAGTGGCGTCTAATTGAATTAACAAATTATATCATGGACTAAAATTTACCTTGCATTGTAGAGCTCGGTCTAAAAATAATTATCAAATTCTGTAATCGTATTTAACACATTTTATATCTGCAATTAATAATATTTGTACATATAAATAAATTAAAAGCACATGATAATTACATGCAATTTTACTAAACTCAAGGTGAGTCGAGTCTAAATTGAATAATAATCAAGTTAGACTCAAATATGAGTAGTTATGCTATGCATCCGTATGCATACAAATGCAAAAATGACGTCGTTTTATTAAAAACGCACGTCTCCCCTTAAAAAAATCAGGTTCGATTCCCAGCAACAACATTATGTATAACGCTTCCACTGAGGCTCGAACTCATAATAATCTTCCATATGGAAGTCGAACCCGAGTACCATTAGACCACATAGTCCTGGAATTTTAGTTCATTGATTCTGGAATTATAGGTCATCGATTCTGGAATTGTAGTTCATCGATTATGAAATTGTAGTTCGTAGATTCTGGAATTTTAGTTCATAGATTATGGAATTTTAGTTCATTGATTCTGGAATTATAGTTCATCAATTCTGGAATTGTAGTTCATCGATTATGAAATTGTAGTTCGTAGATTCTGGAATTTTAGTTCATTCATTCTGAAATTTTTAGTTCATAGATTAGATTTTGAAATTTTAGTTCATAGATTCTGGAATTATAGTTCATTGATTCTGGAATTTTAGTTCATATGTCGTTGCTGGGAATCAAACTTGATTTTTTTTTAAAGGGGAAACGTGTGTTTTTAATAAAACGACGTCGTTTTTGCATCCGTATGCACCATGCATGATGCATACCGATGCTCAGCATAATTTGCCCTCAAATATTATAGGATTAACCAGCCCATTTAAATTCATCACATATTGTGATATGGGTTTTATGTTCCAATTTTGAAATTGGGTAGTTGGGCCTTTTGTGAACCCCACTAAAATATTTATTAAAACATCGAAATGGTAATATAGGCCTGAAAGAAACCCGTTTGAAGATCCATAATAAGGTTTAAATCGGCCCAATAGAAACATTCGAAATGGGTCCATTAATTTTCCATATCCGTTAAGGTACCATGATTCAACCTCAAAAGTACAATTCAGCTTTTTAGTATGACAAATTGACTTCCTCAAAAAAAAAAAAAAAAAAAAAAGTATGACAAATTGACAATCACATCCAATCATCCTATGACCCATGTGGACTGCATCCCATTCGTTGGATAAAATTTACTGTGCATCTGATTGGTCGGATAAAAGCAAAACATGCGTTTTTCTATGTTAATTCCCACGAGAATAAATTCTTACTTGATTTTTGCACAATATTTTAAGAAGCCATGTAAGAAAGATAGATGGAGGAATTTTTATTTTTTTTTAAAATTAAGGTAATGTGCTCGGTTGGGCGCTATTGTTGTGCCTCACGCAAGAAATTGGCAAATTGCGTGCCTTTTTCAACAATGGTGGGGCCCACTTCAGAGACAAAAAATCAATTATTGTAAGAAGCTCTCACATCTTCTATCTCCTCATTCTCTATCTTCCATTTCATCCAAAATCTCATCAAAAACTGAGAAAACACCACTATTGTAATTACTATAAGCTATGGTGTAAATAATTATTAGTGTTTCAAAAAAAAAAAAAAAATACTCATAAGATATAGATAAAATGGTGTTGTTCCCTTTTGTTGAGCATATAATATATAAATATAAAGGTGCAATTCAATTATCAATTTAGACTTTTAATTGAGATGTAACTATATTTCAATTGGGTATCAAAACCAACTTCATTTCAAAGTCAGTAACGGGCTCGCAACACGTGAGGGGTCTATTGAGAATGTAATATATAATCATAAATGTAAAATCCAACTATCAACCTTTAGATTTTTAGTTGAGATAAAATAGATGCTTCAATTTCTTCCATTTTAACTAGAGATCTCATATTTTAAAATTGTGAAATACAATTACTTTAAAATTCATGAGAATGTAAATTGCTACCCTTGATGTTATACTTGGCATGAGTAGTATTGATCTTGCTATATGTGCTTCTAATTTACCATAACTAATAAAACAAGTGATCTAACAAAAATTACTTATTTTTTCTATTATTTATATTTGACTTAATTTTTTTCGTAATATTTAAATTAACATTCATATATAAAAGAGTTAATTTCACCAGAGGTCCTTTGTTTTTTGTGGTAATTTTAAATTTAATCCAGATTATCGTTTTTGCCATTTAATATCACATATACTATTACTTTTTGGACACTTTTAGTCCTTCTCATGACTTTTCTTATTTTTAGTAAGGGCATATTTTTCTTTTATTATTTTTTCGGTTTCAACCGGTTTAATTGATTTAGGACGTTAGGTAACCTCTGATTTTTAGTAACCATAATTTTCAACCAGTTTTAGTAAAATCCTAAATCAATTAAACTGATTGAAACTGGAAAAAATAACAGAAGAAAAATACGAAGAGACAAAAACGTCCTTACTAAAAATAGAAAAAATCATGAGAAGGACTAAAAGTGTCCAAAAAATAATAGTCTAGAATGTTAAATGGCAAAAACAATAATTTGGGCTAAATTTAAAATTGCCACTAAAGAAAATGGACATCTGGTGAAATTAACTCTATATAAAACTTATATATTTAAAAATCACTATTAAACACACACACACAAATAAATTTAAAAATTATAAGAAAATAAGCCAGAAATAAAAGATTAGTTTAATCAATAAATATTAAATATTATAGGCAAAATGAAACAATGCAGCGCGAGCAATATTTTAAATACATAAACTTATTGTTATATGGGTTATTATAAAATTTTATGAAAAAAAATACTTTCACAAATTCATATGTGATATAACTTATCAAAAAATTTAGTATATTGTTTTCATATGTATTAAGACGAAATAAGTTAACTAACGGTAGTCCTTAAACTATCAAATTTTAATTATTCATGGTCTTTTTAAGAGGACTATGATTGATTAAATTTTGAAAGTTGAAAAATCATGAGTGATAAATTTAAATTAAGATGGTAATAATTTAAAAATAAAAAAATTATGAATAATTAATTTAAAAATTTAGGACTAAATTTGATATTATTAACTCTATTACGTAAATATTGGATAAAGTATTATAAGAGGTAAAGCCGCTTACTAATTAAATTCATTTAAAAGTTAAGGTTAGGGTTAGAAAGTGGCTATGGTCTAAAAGGTAGGGTTTGAATTCTCTATCCTCTCATGACATCATTAACTTATATTTATTTAAGTATTAATAATGCCCACTTAGTGGATTATTGAGCAAGCATTGCTTTTCTTGATGGGTGGTGGGGAGGGAAACAAATAGATAATTAACTACCTTTTTTCAGGGCCGGATTTTAGGCTGTGCAAGCTGGGCTACCGCACAGGGCCCCCAATTTTAGAGGGGCCCCAAATTTTAGAGGCCAAATATTTAATATTTACCTAGCTAGTTTATAAATAAAAATTAAAAATTTTCAATTAAACTTAAAAGGTTCTATGAAGAGATGGTAGCAATGTGTATTTATTATATTTTAACTTGGAGGTCAAAGGTTCAAAACTCGCATATGTTAGTTTTAAAAATTATGATTTCGGAGGGCCTTAGCTATTTACCATAACAGGGCCACAAAAACTTAAAATCCGGCCCTGCCTTTTTTAACCCACCATCATTAGGTCATCTCTGATTCTTTCCTAACTCCTAACCATGTTAAAATTGTATACCAAGACTATACTTACGTAACCATAAGAATTATTTAACCCAGTGCCTAGTTCAATAAATATTAGTAGGTTGGAACTTCACTGAAAATTTGATGAGTCATTAATGGTCTTTGACCAATTAGTAATGGTAAAAATCTCTTGTAAGTACTAAGTAGAAGTATATAAGCGGCAAGAAAATCTAAAATCATTTAGGGTGTGTTTGGAAACCTGGAAAATGAGTTCTGGAAATCATTTTCCAAGTTTTCAGTGTTTGGATGTGCCTGGAAAATCAAGTCAACGGAAATCATTTTCCGTTGACTTTGGAAAATAGGCTTGTTTTGGAGGAAAATGACTTCCCTTTTTTTGGGGGGAAGTCATTTTCCAACTTTTACACCAACATCACACCACCACCAACATCATCAACACCATACCACTACCACCATCACCACCACTACTGCCGCCGCCACCACCACTATACCACCGCAACCACCGCCACCACACCACCACCACTACCACCACCAACACCATACCACCGCAACCACTACCACCACCAACACCATACCACCGCAACCACTACCACCACCAACACCATACCACCGCTGTCGCCACCACCACCATACCACCGCTGCCGCCACCACCACCATACCACCGCAA